TCGTCTACCTCTTGACCTGCCTACTTTTATGCTTCTCATGCCATTTAATCTCTTGTCCATAAAAGCTATACCAACAAAAGAAATGTGATTTGATCCGCTCTAAACAAAAGGGAAATGGAAGATGTAAAACATGGCAAAAGAAGCCCAGAAAGTCCTTGTTCAAAGAACAGCAACAACAATAATAACAAAGAACAAGACCGCTTCCTCCCAATAGCCAATGTGGGTCGCATAATGAAAAAGGTCATCCCTGGAAACGGAAAAATATCAAAAGATGCAAAAGAGACAGTTCAAGAATGTGTCTCTGAGTTTATCAGCTTTGTTACAGGTGAAGCCTCAGATAAATGCCAACGAGAAAAGAGAAAAACAATAAATGGTGATGATATAAATTGGGCCATAACGACATTAGGGTTTGAGGAATACGTAGAGCCACTCAAACTCTATCTTAGCAAGTATAGACAGGAAGAAAACAAAGGAAACAACAACAACAACAACCTACCTAAACCGCATCAATGCATTGAACAACATCAACACACTTTGCCAACTTATAAGAGTCTCTATTCAACGACAGCCACCAATATCATGTCACAACAACCTTTTGCATCGGTTGGCGACCAAAAGTTTGGGTTACCATTTTCTTCAAATACAATTCAAACACAATTGCACCATCAACAGGAAAACATTGATTCCGTTGGGCAGTGGTAATTTCATCTTCTTCTTGTTATTCCTTTGGAAATGGAATTTGTAACTGTGTTTTGTTTATTTTTTCGACCACATTTTAGAAGATAGGACAATAGAAAATCTTCTTACACCAATGTGGTTTATTATATCAAATATAGCACATGTGCTTATTCAAGTTGTATAGTTTTAATAGAATGCGTTTGCTAGTTTTATGTCATTATATATACCGCATTTAATGTGTCGCTTTTAGAAAAAAAGATTAAGAATCCTTGTTTCACATTTTAATTGTAAGAATATAGCACTCGTTACTTATATTGTTAAAATCACCTTTTTTGTTTTCAAATGATGTAAACTATTATCAATAATTAAAACCTCTAAAAAAGTCGAGGGTTTATTAGGTGGTGCATGTTTGTATGTTCGTTGTTATGATCTTTTTTTTTTTTTTTTTTTTTTTTTTTTTTTTTTTCATCTGAGCCATTGTGCTACGATTCACATCAGGCTAACCAGCATGGAGGTCAAATGAGGTGCATGGTGCCTATGTGGCATGAGTTCCCACGTGCAAACACCACCCTTGGAGATGAAGTGGTGGATTGAAGATGAAGATGTTGCTAATGTGGGTTCACCACGACGCTGGAGTAAACCGTGTAGCATCATATTAATTTGTGAACTTTTACAAAGGGATTACCTTCATTTTGTTGGTTTTTTATTAAAGCCAGAACATATAATTTTTCACTTTCATCAAAATCAAGATGTATGAGAGTCACCAGCTGGATCGCCTTAATTAGCGGTACGTTGCCTACAAGACTCTAACGTCCGTTCCTTGATTTTTCCGAATCTATGAAAATCACAATAGACATAGCATAGTTATGTATTACCTTCACAAAGTGTTTCTTGGCACAATCTAATCTTTGTATCAGTATAACATTTAATTAAGCCTTTTTCGACATTACAAGACTTCACACAACCGTACTATATGTCAAATTCTTAGGGCATCTCCAATGGAAGGTTTTTTTTTTTTTTTTTTTTATAGTACAATATTATTATTATTATTATTATTATTATTATTATTATTATTTTTAAATGAGCACTTAAAACCATTGAAGCAAACAATTTTTTTGCTTTTTTATTTTGACCACTAAATATATATATATAATATATATATATATATATATATATATATATATATATATATATATATATATTATATATATAATATATATATATATAATATTGAGTAGTCAATATGGTATGAAAATTGTACATTTTAAACCTTTCCATTTTTAAAGATATGTAATTTTATAACTAATTTATAATATTATCAATGTTTTTGTTGTATTTTTAAACTAAAACATAATAATTTTCATATTTTAGTTATATAAATAAATACTTGACATAGTTGCATTATATATATATATATATATATATATATATATATATATATATATATATATATATATATATATATATATATATATATATATATATATCATATTAAGAAATGATTTGTGTTTAAAAAATGATTAATTAAATTAGTTAAATTTATAGAAAACGCCATTAAAACAAGTTGAACCATTGGAGAAGTCCTTTATTTAGATGTTAAAAATTAATAGATGATTAGGTGGCAATAAATTTAAGTTAGAACATGGATTAACCATTGGAGATGCTCTTTGTATATATATATATATATATATATATATATATATATATATATATATATATATATATATATATATATATATATATTCTGTTTTAATAAAACAGTACCACAAACGACATATGACATTACCTTTCGAAAAAAATTATGTAAATCAGGAAATCAGGATATTTGAAATTTGAACTTTCAATTATACCATATAATTCTGCAACAAATCAGATAGTCGAATATCAATCCCAATAAATCAACAATTGAATATCAATCAAATATATATATATATATATATATATATATATATATATAATTATATATATATATATATATACACACACACACACACAAACACATTTATGTTTATGTTCCTGTTTCAATACGCATAGACCAAATATTCATCATCGGATAAGGAGACTATATTGTTTTCTCTATGTTTTTCCTATATCGAGGGTATACTCATCAACTTTTTAGTTTTGGACTGCATAATCAACAAGGTCAGTTTGTTGTTTCCCCTTATTCATGTAGTCAAATATTGGACAACAATATACCTTATAAGTAATATCAACCCACTTTTTATTATTGAATTGTTTTTTATTAACATGTTAACCATGTTTTTTTATTAACCTATAATCATGTTAACCATTAACCATTTCGGTGAATAGCAACAATATACTTTACATGTAAACCATGTTTTTATTAATATGTTAACCATGTTAACCATTAACCATTTCGATCAATAGCAAGAATATACTTCACATTAGTATGTATTTTACTGTTTCCACTTCATTGCTATTTCTTTTTACCTGTTTGAATTTTTTTTTTTGGTTGTTGATTATAAGTGTCAAATTTATTGTACACAATAAACATTATTTTAAATTTCAACATTTAACTATATCACGATTTGTGGAATTAAAACAAGTATATGTTTTTTTTCATTTAATGTTGGTAATTATAAGTGGGAACTTTTTGGTAAACAATTAACATGGATGCATAGTTCATCATGTAGATATATCACGACTTGTGGAATTAAAACAAGTATATGTTTTCTTTTTATATACTATAAATGCCACTATCAGAGTTAAGATACTCTTTAATCAATTAATGCTTTATGATTTTTCTGTTTATATTTGAAATTTTTTGTTAAACATACAAGTTGTTTTTTAACTTGCAAGGTACAATAGAACATATTACTCTAATAAAGGAAATTAACTCAATCAAGGACGATTTCACAATTAAACTTCGAATCATACGTCTTCGGACTCAAAAGTCAAAATTTGATGCAAATGACACATACACAATAGATATGATCCTGGTGGATGAGGAGGTATAAGATCCATATATTCAATTATTATTTTTATAAAAATTCATATTCATATGCAAATATATTTAAATATTTGTTATTTAGTTTTATAAGGAATGAAAATTCATGCATCTTGTCTAAAGAAATGGTTTCCTAGATTCCAGCGGTATTTAAAAGAGGATAGTTCAATATACGTTAAGAAACCTAACGTCGCACCAAATACTTCAAAATTCAAGTTTGCTGATCCGGAAAGAAAACTTAAATTTAATCACGATACAATTGTAAAAGATTGTGAAAACTTTTCTGGTTCTGCACATGGCTTTGATTTTGTTGACTTCAATACCATTGTTTCTAACAAGGAGTCAAACTCTTTTGGTTGGTTCTTTTAATATTAACTTTTGTTATATAACATCATACTTTCTTTCTTTCGTTTACAAATTGATAATTTTTATTAAATTAAGCCTATATTTTTGTTAGGTGCATTTTATGCATACATTTTGTAGTTTTAGTTCATAAAAGTACATTGCATTTAGGTTTAAACTCATACATTTTGCATATTTTTCGAGATTTTTCATGACGCAATTCCAGTCACACACTTTTATGATATTTCAGGGACTTTTGAAGGTTGGATTTTGATGGGGGGGGGGGGGAAGTAAAAAAGAGTTGGAGACAAAGTTTCAGAAGTTTTGGAGCATTGAAGAGAGAGAGAGAGAGAGAATGAAGAAATAAAGAATTTGGCTTCACAGGAGTTTACACAGCCATGTAAACGATAGCTTATAGTTTACATGGGCCATGTAAACGCATATGCAAGAGCATTCTACTTCGAAGGCCTGGAAGGATTGAGCATTCTACTTTTCTTGTTTACACGGTCGTGTAAATGACACCCTTTAATTTACACGGGCCGTGTAAACGTCTCGGTAGTTTTTAAAGTAGTTTTATTCTCTTATAATTCAGACAATCAGTTTGGTGGGAAGTTAGGTCGGATTTTGGATAGAGAGAAGGCGATTTTCAGAGCTTTTGGAAGTAGATTAACACTTGGAAACACTTTAATTTCCTTTTTGTAAGTCAATTTGAAGTTTAGACTTGTTTGATTTATAGTTCAACCTAGACATGTGTGGTTGATTTCACTCTCATTTTCGAATCTGAATTCTTAAGTATGTGTTGTTAGGTTGTAACTTGAATTTGATTTCTATTTAACATCCTGTAATATTTGATTTGATCTTAATCATGTGTTTGGTTGGTTCTCTTTTTCACTTGATCAATAAATTAGGGTTCTAGTCAATCTAGTTAATCAAATTATGAAATTCGTATATGTTTTATGATTTGATGTTAGTAACACACACTTACGTGGTTGTAATTAGATCAAAATTAGTGCAATCAAAGATTAAATGTTTATATTCCCAAACTTAAGAGGAATGTTAAACATTGTTGGTGTAACATCCGAAAAACACAACCAATTGAAAATTTTCAAAACAACCTGATTTTTCATTAAAATGTTTACAAAAACGTTTTCAATACAAGTCATTTAAGTATTCCCAGAATCACGTTGCTACGAAATCATGAGGAGCGGTACGATCGCGCTTTCGCCTTGCCACAGTCTCCTGAAGAACCTGAAAAACATTAAACCACAACTGTAAGCCCGAAAGCTTAGTGAGATACCCCCAAAATACCAACCACGCGTACGCCCTTCCAGGCTGCGACCTTCCGGTCCAAAACATATAAAACATACATAACATACAGGACATAGAACAACCATGCATATCGGGTCTACTGGGTGACTGGTCCGCCGTATCGGGCCTTCAGTCCATCGGATCCATCCTCCAGGTCTAGTCATGTCCTTCGAGTCTACAGTGGGGTTGGTCCGCCCGCATCGGGCCTTCAACCCACCTGGTCCACTCTCTGAGTCTACAGTGTGACTGGTCCGCCCGCATCGGGCCTTCAGTCGGCCTGGTCCACTCTCCGAGCCTCGGCACGTCTGGTCCGCCCTCGTGGGGCCTACAGCCTATCCGGACCGCTCGCTGGGCCTTCGGAACAACCGGTCCGCCCTGGGTATCTTGGCCTACAGCACAAAGCAGG